TCAAATTGACTTTTTTCAATGCGGTGCCACAAATTAAAAAAAAACTACAAGTCGGATCGATTTGCTTTTTTTTTAATTTGTTCACCACTGCAATACCTAGTCCCCCTACCTCAAACAACTTGATAACATTATGCAAAAAAATTTTGCGAACCTTCTCGTCCCAAAACAAAGGCCTTTTTGGACACTTTTTTTTAAGTAGCTGCCATTTTTTTTCTTCTTGCTTTTTTCTTTCATTTTGGTAGGGGGACTGGATTCAAACTTCTTCTTCAACGTAGTTTCGTTTTTTCTTGTTTCAGGCGATGCGCAACGGATTTATCTGTGGCACCGCAAACGAGATCGATTTTGCAATGCCCACTTTGGCGCCCCCTGGTTCAAAAATGACGGCGAAACAAAAAAAAAATTTTTTTTTAATATTCTATAATTTTATAATTTTTGTTTAAAAAAAACCGCATGTCTTTATGATAAATACATTTCGAGAAAAACAAAAACAAATACCTTGCATGTTTTGTATAAAAAAAAGAACAACCCCCTTAAGTCGATTATTTGCATACATCGGGAAGTTCATGTAACTTGTCTCAAGGCAAAATACCAATACCAACTAGTTAGAATTATATCTCAGACACTTTTGGAAGGTTAGAGGAAGTCTATATGTTTTCTTTTATGAGGACTATGTATATATAAAATTAGTGAAGAAGGTTAAAGTTAAAATCTAATATAATAATTTTGAGGGCTGACAATATTAATGATACTGATCATTTTTCAAAACCCTCAGTTAAAATAGCCATTATATTAAAGAAAATTATAATATGAGCTGTAACAATATCTATTGCTACAGATATGTTTATGGGTTATGTCAATATTTCTCAGCAATTCCAAAAAAAATCAGTCTTCGATACAGATGGATTATTTAATGTTTGTTTGGGAAGTTATAACGTGACAATGCCCGATGTTCACTTACAATACACAAATCTCAAGGTAATATGTTTGACGAGATTTAAGATATATTGTATGAATACAATAAAACTCATATTTTTATATGTTGCAATAATTCTACATAGTTACCAGTATTAATGGATTAGTTATTATTTCTAAAAACTTGGTCAAAAAATGGTAGAAAGCAACCATCAGGAATGCTACGAATGACTTTCATTCGTTAAGACACATATTACAACTAGAAGAATTTGGAGCTTCAATGATATGTCACTGTTCTCACTCTAATGTCATAATGTCAAAGCTTCCAATTTCATTTTACTGATTCTGAACATAAAGTATTACAAAGTTGCATATTTTTATAAGAAATAATTGATATTCAGATTTATTACACTAAGCAAGAGATCAAGCACAACAATAGCTTGATATATCATTTATATACAGATATACTTCATATTGGACATTTATTAAGTTTATTTATTGCTAGTGTTAATGAAAATACTTAAGATTGTTATATTACATCTGTCCACTGTGTGAACGAATACTATATACTTCATTTCTCTAATGAAGGTTCAAGTCCTAAATTACAAATGATATTTTTAATGCTATTATAAATAATGCTATTATTATTTATTATTATATAAATATATAATATTAATGGTTGACATTAATAAATGTGTGCATCACGAGTGTTACCATATGTATTTATTTTCAACTTAAATGCAATCTTGTACAATAGCAAAAAAGTTTTAATTCAGTTGCATGTGAACCTTACGCGAACTCTTTTTCTTATTGCCTTGTCTTTCCTATTGCTTTGTCTTAAGAACTAAGCATCTCCCTATGCCCATTTTTCTCTTCGCCGTTCGTCTTCCTACGTCATTTGAACGCTCCTTTAGCCGAATAATAGTTGTGTATCGGATTCGCATTTATCTATCTATATCATCTACGTATATGTCTAACAGTTTTCCCTATCTAATCTTAATTAATTACTAATAATTTAATCTTACTAAAATATTACTTCTTTAGTTTCCGAATACGTGTAGCCGGAATCCTTGCTGTATTAACGAATGTATGAAAGAGAAAAGAAACCAACGATTTTAAACTAAAAATTACTATTTTGTGCTTTTTCTTAATCTTTTACTTTAATGCGCTAACAAATAAATTTCAATTAATTAAACTATTACGAAAACTAAACAATTACGCCGAAAACAAAAAGATTATTTAAAAAACAGCATACAAATTTTATTTGAATGAAAACAAACAAAACAAACTATTCACTATATTATTACAAGCTCGTTTCTTTCCTATTTTCTCTATAGGCATGATGAATCGTAGTCTGCCGTTACGTCAATGGGCTCGTCTGATTTTAATTTACTCGAGTTGGCTAAGTCCGAATTAATTAAACCTTACCAAACATGCCTCGGTCGACTTAAACGCATATCAGAAAACATTGTCACATAGGAGCTTAAACTCCGAATCTAAGTACAAGCAGTTCAGGTTGTGGTTAACTACTAAATGATAATTTCTCACAATTTAAATGGTTTTTGCAGTCGCCTTTTGACGCGTTTTCCAATAAAATTTGGCAGTCTATATGCGCGAGGCGAATTGAAATTCCGCAATTCTCAAAAGGCGCCAGTTCTTGAGATACAAAAAATTTAAAATACCCAGCAAAACGCATTAATGCAAACAAAAATTATGAGATGAAAAAGAAATTTGCACGGATAGTAACGCTACATGTGTTCAAAAATTGATGAATCACAGGCGATATGCATTTGTGTAATGCAATAATTTATAAGTTATAAATAATTTTTTAGGGTTTTAGAAAGTTAGACATTAGGATAGTTGTAAGATGATAGGTTTTAAAATTTGTAGGAATCATTTTTTTTTTGCCGGGGTTCACAATAATTTTTGAACGTATGTAGCTGTTACTATCCGAGCGAATCATGGGCCGTGGTGAGGCTAATGTCGCAAATCTCAGACGTTCGACCCTTCGAAAATCGGGACCGTCTCGAATTCAGTTCCACGTTTTCTATTGTTTTGACTAAAGCGTTCTCGACATACAAATTTTCTCTCGCAGTTTCTGTCAATTAAAATGTCTAAGACCTAGAAAATAAAAATAAATACGACGGTTTGCGTACTCTTGCAATACGATATTTTACAAAATCTTCGAGAAACTTACCAAAATCTCAAAACAACAAAAAAAAAACACACACAAAAGCGATATCTTTGTAAATACATATTTTAACTAAATCTCTAAAATATAATATTTTGAACAATTAATAAAAATTCTTTGTAAAACAAATTAGTTTTTGTCTAACTTTATACAAAAAGGAAATCGAATAAATCTACAAAGTAAATGAAAATTAATCAATATTATAAGAAAAATATTTTTTTCTTTTAACAAACGAATCTCACAAACGTATACGAAAATATAACTAAGACTAAAATGTATAACTCAAAATAAATATGTAATCTGGTTTTACTAATTCTAACTTAAAATCTTTGTAATTATACTTAAAAACCTATCTAATTTGGACGAACTAGAGCCTTTCTTGAAAACCTGATAAAAAACAAAGTAACCCGAGCGAATGGAAGAAAAAACGATCAGAAGTACACAAAAAAATAGATTCAGCATTTTAAAAATATTATAAACAACATTTCGACATAAACAAATTAAATCTCTAATAATCACTCGAACCACGTGATTTTTCATTTTCGTGCCAGCACATTTTGCGAATTGCCTTTACAATCGTGCATTAAACCCATAATTCTTAATATAAACCCTATAACTCTAATCAATACTATTTATATATACAAAATAACATTTGAAATATCTTCGCTTACGTACAGTTCTAAGTGTTCTAACAATCATTTGTACACACTACTATAGTAACAAATATTTCAACAAAATAAAATACATTTAAACTAACGCGTAAAAAATGAATGCCGAATCTCCGTGAACAATCCAAAACCAGAGTCGATAAATAACAAATAATCCGATGAGACGAAAGAAAAAATACCCCGGATGAACTAAACAATAAAATTTTATTGCCGAGATCGTAAGTACTACCGCCGTAGGTGGACCAGAATGATTACTGAAAGAATTTATGCTTATTTAATCATCTGATCGTTAAACCAACGAAAAGTAGTACACGGCTCTGTTTTACCATTTGTTATGAATTATTTTATTGCTAGTTGCGGATTAGTTGAATTTGTTTTATTTGATTTACTTTTACCTTTATCTTTTATCCCATACTGCTGAAAGACTATTTAAATATTACAACTACTACTAATGAGTAGGCTATTGTTCGTGACTTAATTAAACAATATTTTATATTTACACTCTTAATCTAAACATTCCTTATTTTAAACTTATCTGTACAGAATCATGTCCATCAATATCTCTCGTGTCCATACACACTAATCACATATTAATTAATAGTCTACTTTCAGTTTTTTTATTTACCATTCATATTACAATCTGTCTTAGTGAAGACATTTAGTAAGTTATAACATATGGTTTATTTAGAAAGATTACCCAATGGTAATTCTTTCTAGTCTGGATATATGCTCTGTTACTAATTGCTGATTACTGTATAGTACTTAAATAATAAATACTATATAAACATATATATATCTATAATTATCCCAGTTTAGATAAAGAAAAACAATAAAGGAATGTAATGAAAAACAATGAAGATATGCAATCAATGTGTCAATTTTCAGTGTGTCGCAATCATGTGATAATTCCGTCCTCTTCAGCCTTTTTTGATGCGTGACATTATATAGACTTGCTCCGAGCTCATTGGGGTGTCCATCAATTTTATTTTTGTACCTTTGGGTAATCTTTTTAATTTGACTTTCAATTTGAGGACAGATTCTGATGCGCTGCACCTCATAACATCCTTTTAGCTTACATTATATCTAAAATCTATTCTATAAAACATTTCGCGCACTGCACCGCGCTCATCCTTCGACTTGTAACCGACTCATTTTCTTCGGCTATTACTTTCGCTACCAAACTTTTTATTTAAGTACTATTCTTATTAGGAACACTTTTTATATTTTAGGCTGTGCTTGCAATTTGTGATCTATCCTTGGATTTCAACCCAGAATTAGGCACCAATCCAAACGACATAGTACACAATCTGGTTTTAACCCTCGACTCGGACACTATATCAACAATAAACCAATTCACGGAAGAGTATGTTTTCACAAAACATCTGACAGGTAATGATTAAAACAAAATTATATTAATTGTAACTGATTTTTATGCTTTTAATTATTCTAGAGGGACATGATAAAGATTCAAGCCAGATATCTAAACGTCGTGAAGTCTTGGAACGGTTTTGCAAAATTATAGGTTTTAATATTATACCAGGATATCATGCGGCCTTTGTTCTAAAGTATTATGTAAAGGTAAAGTAATTATAATTGTAAAATGGTACAATAGTGATCGAACCATTTTTACACCACACATTTAAAATTCTTATTCGATTTAATTATTTATCAACTTTTTTATTGTTTAAATTTAGTTATCAGTACAGATTTAAAAATAAAATCAATGTTGTTTACTTCATATTATGTAAATACATTTCTTTTATTTCATAATTTATTCAGAAGATGGTTCGAATAAATATTATTATTATTTTTTATAGTGTAATAAATGCTATGGCGATATCATAAAGAATTTGGTTGCCAGGATGCGTCAGCTTAACCTCATAAACAGCACTCTGACCATGTGGTTGGCTTTGTCACAAATGTATACGGATTTGCAAACTACACTTGGTGATAATAAACGACTTGATGGAACTGTTAAAGAATTTGCAGAATTGAAGGTATGTATTTTCTTAATTCAATATAATATAAATTTTTGTAATGATAAAATCATTAATATTATCTTATATATAAAAATGGAGCTCTCTTTCAAATGTCCAAGTAAAACTCGAAAACGGCTAAACCGATTTGGCCAGTCTTAGTCTTGAAAAATTTGTGCTAATCAGTAGGTGGTCGGAAAAGTGAGATATTATTTCAAAATTGCGTAGAAACTTTACATTTTTAATATGAAAATTTTTATAGAAGCGTGAATAAAACAATGGACGGTGGCTAATTAGTGAAATGTCAAACGTTTTTGACAGATGATGTTTAATTACTTTTAATATGATGTTCTGCGTAAATATTATTTAATTATGATTAAATTGTAGTAAGTAGATTTGTTCGTAGTTTTATTTATATACAAAAACGTTAGTAAACGGGCCGCAAGTGTTACTAAAAACTCAAAATATCAATCTTTTTGAAATGTTAATATGAAAATGCACATTTTGGCATATTACGATGCTCTGATAGATCTCATTTGTATAATTATATACTCATTGGTATTTATGAAACATTTTCTATGTTATATTATTTTTTATTTATGTTATTTAAATTCAAAACCTAAATTTGGTATCGATCAAAGTAACATTTTGCCGAATAACATTTTCCCAGTTATAATTTCGCAGAATTTATCGAAGAATAGATAGTAATATATGAAGGTCCGAGGTTAAAAAGGTCCACCAGCGATGTGTCAAAAACCAGTAAAGTTAAGCATTGTTTAACAAAGAATTGAAAAGTAGAGGGAAAAAAATGTATAACCAGTTATAACCTTGATTCTTATGACTTTGTTTATCTGGAGATAAACTGTAATCTTTGAAAATCCATAATAAAAGTATTTTATTCCGATGGTAGTTTTTTTTAGCATTAGTTAAAAGTGTAATTATTTTGTAAAATACCTTTAAAATTAAAAAAAGACATTAAACCTATTCGCCACCTGGCCGTTCCAAGTTACCCTGTCTATGGGGTAAAAAGGTCTAGACAACAATTTTTTTAAAGACAGATAAAAAGCACATTTCTGCAATGATGAAGTAGCTAGCAGTTTTACTGAACGTAGTCAGATAATTTTTCGTTTGAAATGTGTTATTTGTTGTGATATAATTGGTTTGCTTTTCATAATATAGTTTATATTTGCTCAAAGTCAAATTGGACCTTTGTGCCTTGCCCTGCGCTACATATATACTTTTTATTAAATTTACTTGAATTCATTGAATGCTACTTGAAACTTTTCAAAAAGCAGGTCAAAAAAGAAATACTCAATTCATTTTCTATCTCTTTTCTCTCCTCGCATAAATTTGAAAATTTTGTATAAGCTCAGTTGTTGTATTATTTACAATTATACGCGAAATCCTGAATCAAAAAAGAATCTGAAAAACTTGAAACGTAATCAATAATCGATTAAATGGAATTTGTAATTACTATATAAGTCGAAAGACCAAAAATGACTTGGATTGGATTATACCATGTTTTCTATAGAAAGTGTATAAAACTTCCAGTTTGATTGTATTGATAAAATATAGACAAACTAATGGGGTTTATAACATTCAAACAACACATCCTTATACACTTAAAGTATGAAATTTTTTGATTCTCTAGAAATTGTTTAGAGTATACCTTCTTAGCAAAATAACGTTTGCCGGGTCAGCTAGTATATAATATTTATGCTAACAAACTTCATAAAGCGACGCGGAGTTTTTATTCTTATCTTCCTGGAAGGATAAGTTTGAATGAAACCAAGTTGGAAAATATGTGTGTGTAAGTGTATGTGTGTCAATTTTTGACATTGCATCGACGTTTCCCAAAAACGGCATTACAGATTTCAAAAATTTAAATGCCATTTGATATATTTCGATGAGGACTAGGGTTTATAATTATTACCTCTTTTTTTGCTAATTTGTAACAAGCAAAAAAGTGTAAAATTTTTCGTCCAAGTATTAGCTCACAATCCTGAACCGATTTTAACAAATAAACAAATTTAAAAACTGTTTGCAAGATATTGATGCTGATTAGTTGTTAGTAAAGGTCGATCGGACTGTTTTCTTATAAATAGCTGTCGGCGAAATTTATGAAACATTTTTTGGCGATAGATGATTAGATATCATGTTTATATAAAACATACTAAAATTTTACGGTCCAACGACAATTCTTTTAATTTTAAACGAATTTAAAAGAAATTAAATATTTCTCTGACGTTTTCTCAAAAACGGCTGAACTGATTAATCTTGGTGAGCGTTGGTTAGTTTCTTTAAAAGTTTGGATACGATCAGCATCATTGATACGTTTCAGCAAAGAATTCTGAACTGATTTTGAAAATTTAAATGTTATTTGAAAAATATTGATTTTTTTCAAAAAAATTCTCGATTTTAATGATACTTGATGCAGCGATAGAGTAACTGCTGATCATGCTTCAATTATAAAAATGAATTCAAAGAATCTTTTGTAAAATTCATAACATACTCCTAACTGAATTAGGCGCGTGTTCAATTTTCAATAATGTCTAATAAGAACTTCTTGTACAGAATTGAATAATCTGCAATAGTTACTCACATTATGAAGACCTACAGCATCTCGGCATACTTATAAATCACTCATAAATTAATAAATTGAATTTTTATTGATTAATTCGATTATTTATGAATAAGTTCGTTAATTTTAATATAAAAATTACAAATAACAATAAATAAGTCGCAAAAAATATGAGAAAACCACCCTCAAAATTAAAGGCTTGAAGGCTGAAAGCTCGACGTTTGAACTGATTACTGTGACTGAACTGTGGCAATGACGCTCAAGATCAGACAGGATTGTGATTGACCATTGTGTCATTTTGCTCATATATACAATTTGCTCCATATTTTCCCCACTAGCTCCACTAGCAAGTTTTCTGTTATTTTTAGGTTTTCATTTTTTACTCGATTTTTTTATTATGGGTCTATTATTCTCTACTATTAATTTTTTAAAATTTAACCTTGATTAAATGCACCAACTATTGATGGAACTTGCTCGTCATACCAAACTTTAAACTAACAAAAATAACGAAAATTAACGACAATAACAAAAAAATGGTCACAGTTTATTTAAAGACTTGGGTTGCACCTAAAAGCTCATAATATTCTAACTACGTGAATTTTTATATATAATTGCGATATATGTTATCACCCCGTTTCGACTTGGCATTAAGCTTTGGGGTATATATTGTTTAAGTTTTCTGATAGCTATTAAAAATTATGATTTTTAAACCTCTCAAATGAAAGCCTCCTTTTTTTAAGTTGACTCTAGCTACTCTAGTTTGATTTTTTGCATGATTTACAGAGTATACAATTTTATATGACTACTCGAAGTAAGATAATCATATTTCTAATCTTTTCTTTATACTCAGACTTTGGCCAGATATCTATCGCTAATGTTGGGGCTTGACAAAACAAAAAATCGCGATGCAATTTTGGAGCTGCACAAGGCTGGAATTTTGTTTGCAGTTGATAAAATTGGAAACAACAAAGAGCCTCCTATTCGGTTGCCGTTTTTAGAAATATTGAATGAATTTTCAGGCAAACTTTTGGCGCCGGATAAAAAAGTTATGTGAGTATAAACTTTGACTGAAGAGTCTGAATATATATATATATATATATATATATATATATATATATATATATATGAGTAAGTTCTTGTGGGGCGATACATCAAAGAATAAAAAGCAAAGATTTATAAATTAATCTTTAATTCCAAACGTTTCGACATTCAATTTAATGTCATCATCAGTGGATCTAAAAACAGTATGAAAAATTAGTATATCTAGGTAATTGTAATATATGTGGATTGGTATAATAACTATAAATATAAGAGGAAAATTAACAAAACAGCAACACTTAACAACAAACAAAATATAAAAGATAGAAAAGGTTCTCTATTACCTTTTCTTTCTAGATATTAAATAAATAAAAAAAGACAAATAATATAGGTATAACTATATAAGTATACATATATACATATTCATATAAACCTACGCCTATACATATATATATACACATATACATATATACATATACATACACACATATACTCGTATATATATATATATATATATATATATATATATATATATATATACATACATGCATACAAACATGCAAACATATATATATATATATATATATATATATATATATATATATATACATATATATATTGATTGTTTCTTTTCCGAACTTCGGAAAAGAAACAATCAATATATTGAAAAAATCCAGGACTTATCTATTGAATATATAATATATATATATATATATACACACACAATATATATATATATATATATATATATATATATATATATACTAGCAAACCCGACGAACTCCGTTTTGCCACCAGATGGTTTCGTGAGAAAGATGAAGAAATTTTTTGTTTGTTTTATATTTGAAAAGGAAAAATTTTAATTTAATATACAACAGTAACGAATTTATTTCGATTACAAAAATGAAGTGTTTCTTAGTTGAACTTCTCTAAGTAAATGAAAGTTCAATGAAACATTCTGGAGTTATTTCGTCAGGAAGGAAACCCGACTTATTTTAATATATATAGAAGATAATCTATTTGAAATTATTTAAAACAATTGTTGATTATTTCATTTCTCGAATTTTTAATTACGGTGCGTGTGAAGTTCCAGCAATTTGCATAGGGCACGATGCCATGCACCACTAATTTTCTTAGCTATAAACCTTGCGGAGCCCGAGACCTTTCCAACGAATGCAAATTGTCGAAATCGGTTCGTGATCGACTTATTTATATATATATATATATATATATATATATATATATATATATATA